TATGAATTAAATGAAAATAAATCCTTGAAAACCTATACTTTTCCTTTTCTTAGATTTATTTTATGAAAACATAACTTTATAGTGTGGATTAGATGATGTCCTATCCAAAAGTCTATGGCGTCAGAGCTGATGAATTAACCTTCACACTTAATTTCCTCTAAGAATCTGGTCCTAATTCAAAAGTCCATTACAACTGGCACACTGATGTTACTTTAAAGAGTAACATTTAATTCTGATAGGACCCAGTCATGTCAGAACAATTCTCACCACATCCAGTTTTGTTCGGGCTCATATGTTCTAAGCAGTGAGGTGGACCCAGAAAATTTTCACAAAGAATCTAAAGGCAACATAAATGTTAGGTAGATAAGGATACAAAATAATCAATCTCTGTCTCTCTCTCTCTCTGTCTCTGTCTCTCTCTCTCTCTCTCTCTCGCAAACACACACACACACACACACACATATTAACAAACAACAGATTTTTCCAAAGTATATTCTCTAAACTACAAAAACAAGTGAAATAAAAGAGCCATAGAATCAATGGACCTGGAAGACAGGCTACTTGGAAACAATAAATTGATCTCCACACCTCTCATCACATATCAAAATTTATTACATAAAGATTAAAGAGGTTATTGTATACTTACATATAAGTGAAACCAGAGAAAAGCTAAAACACAACTTAGTACTTTTAGGACCTCTAACCATAAATATAGAAGCAAGCAATGAATAAATTTACATTTTGGACATAAAAAAAAAAAGATCACTAACAAAATTAAAAGTCAGGCAAACTAGAAACTACATTTGCAAGAATACATACTTAAGATGGTGAATATCATTAATTTTTGGAGGGAAAAGTCCTACAACCCAGATATAAATAATATTTAAAAGCCTGGAAGTCCTCCAAGGGAGGGGAGATAGCAAATTACAAATATCAAGATTACAAAGGATAAAATGCAAATGAATGAGAAAAAACACATAAACAAATGTTCAGCTTACTAATAATCAAAATGGGAATTCAACTGTTACACAGTTATTGGAACTAGTAAATAAGAGAAGAATTTATTTGTGTAATGTTACTAAGCAATGCAGGTAAGCAGTTACTAAAAGAAATAAACTGATTGGTCAGAATGGAGTTTAGTAGAGTCCAAGTCAATCATAACTGGCTCATGACAGGCTCTGACCAATAAAACAGAACAATAAAACTCGCCTGGCATTGCTCAAGCTGAGAGAGTAGAAAAACAAATTTAAATCTTCAGCTGCAATACTGAAAGATGCTATAGGTAAAATTTTGAATGATCCAGGAAGCATCAAAAGAAGATGGGGGTGGGGGAGAAGGCGGAAAGAAGATGGAAGGAATATACACAGTAACTATCAAAAGAATTGGCACAGAATAATTTCATGAAGTAGCATATGATCAAAAGTCAATGGTAATGAAAGAAGTTGGAGACTTCCAGTTTTCAATCACTTTCTATGCATCTGAGAACTAGACAATGTGTATGATGACAGAAGAAAAATCACTGCCTTTGAGTTGTGGTGTTGGAGAAGAGCACTGAGTGAGTATATTATTGACTGTCAAAAAATAGGCATGTGTTGGAGAAGAGTGTCCTTATAGAAAGGAAGACGAAGCTTCGTCTCATAGACTTGAGTATGTTGCTAGAAGGGTATATTCCTTGGAAAAGGATGTCATGCTAAGAAAGTTAGAAGGTCTGCATAAGAGAGAAAGACCCTCAATGAGATGGATTGACACAGTGACTGCAGCAGTGGGCTCAAGTGTGTCAGAGATGATGAGGATGGTGAGGGATATGACTGGGTTCAGATCTGTTGTTCATAAAGTCCTATGAGTAATACTTAACTCAAAGGCACAGAACAACAACAAAAATATATAGACATATTAAAAATAAGTGTGAAAATAGGTATGACTGCACCCAATATATAATAGCTAATTATTGATTGAAGAGTTATTTTCAAGAAAGAAATGAATTATAAAACTTATAAAATATAAAAATAGTACTTTACTTATGAACCTTTCCATGCTAATGGTTTATAACTAATTAAGAAAACCCTCTAGAAAGTTGATTTTTATAAAAATGCATTTATCACAGAATAATGACAAAATAATAGTAATTTTTTACATGATTGGTTTCTTCCAGATATTTGTCTATGTTATAAGTACAAATTATCCTGTATCATAGGTTTTATTATTTCCATTTTATAAATGAAGAAATTGAATTACTATAACAGAAATTGCAAAAAAAGGCATGTAGTCAATAAATGAAAAACTAGAATTCAAAGGCTTATAATTTAGTCTTTAAGCTTGTTGGTTAATAATGTAATGTGTGAAGTAGCAGGCTATTTACAATTAAATAAAAATAATAATTAGTCTGCCTAATTTATATTTAGTCCACTTACATTTTTATTACCTGACTACATTTGCTCCTACTACTCAAGCTATTTTTATGCCATTCTCACAAATTGTCTTAACAACAGCCATTATCCATAAGAAAACATCATGTTTAAGTTAGCTGTAAGTCATGATGTAGAAAGAATTAAATGTATCTGACTATAAAGACATATTTCTATTTTCCCCAATAAAATAGTAAATGCATTAATATTAGATCTATAACTAATGGCATCAGAAACAAGAGAATCCTTAAAAATAAAAGCATAGACATTATTACATGTAAGAAAATGCCTATTTTATGTGTATCATTATATTTGAAATATCATTACCAAAATGATAATTTCTTTTTCACTCTACATTTTGTTCTTTTTCCGTGACTCCTACCTTGCTCAGGGTTCATTTGGCATTTTGTCTCAGTTGTCTAGAAATCTCAATCATATGAATGATAAGTTCTAAAATTAAACTTGCTTCCTTAATCCTTAGACATCCTGGTGGTGCAGTGATTAAGCCATTCAGCACCCAAATGAAAGGTTGGCAGTTTAAACTCACACAGAAACTCTGAAGGAGACAGATGTGTCAGTATGCTGAATATTTCTGTTCTATTTCATAAGCCTTTATGAATCAAGATCAACTTGACCAGAACAGATTTGGTTTTGTTTCAGGCCATAATATGTGTGGTTGCTAGCTAGGCACTTGAGACCTGGATAATAAATAAATAAGGATGACAGAAAAAGAATTGACACCTTTGATCTGAATGGCACGTGGACGACCAAGAAAATGAACAGAATGTCTTGGAGGTGATGCAGCAAGAGCGTTCTTTGGAGGCAAGAATGATGAGGCTTTGCCTCACATACTTTGGACATTTTGCTAGAAGGAGCTATTTCTTGTGGAAGGATGTGATGTTGGGAAGGGTGGAGTGTCATTGAGGAAGAGGAAGACCCTCAACCCAGGTAGACTGACACGGTGACTGCTGCAATGGGTTCTTGTATTTCATGAAGTGTGAGGATTATGTAGGATAGAGCAGGGTTCAGATCTTTTGTTCAGAAGTCGCTATGAGTTGTGCTCAACTCAACAGCTCCTAACAAGAAGAAGTCCTCACACATGATGTATGGTTTCTATCGAGATGAATAGTTATCTCTATGTCAATTTAAATTATAAGATTGAATATTTAATTCATGTCACCTTTTCTCATTCTGTACAATTTCCCAAGTCAATGTGGGTTTCACTTATCATCTAGAAGCTAATGACTTTCTGATTTATAATTCCAGTTCAGTTTTATATCACAGCATTACCTAGTCAAACAACTCAAAAACACTTCAAACTCAGTATGTTGCAAATGAAATATTTGATCTTCCCCTGGATATAGTCTCTCTTCTCTGTTTGAAAAAATAATTTAACATTTGAGGAGGCAAGTCCAGTGAACTTAAATATTTTCCCTAGACCTTAATCTCTCTTTTTCCATATGCAATATGCCCAGACTTCATTGGTTAATGTAGTGAATTGCAAGTCTCCAATAACTCAGTAGCAAATCTGCTTTGGCTTGCATTTCTCAGTCCTCTTGAGCTCTCCTAACCCTTTGTGGCATTGGGCTTTCGCTAGAGTCTGACTCCAGGACAAACCAGCCTTTTGGAACTCAACACTCTCCTGCATCAGTTCCAACTTCACTATTGCTTTGTATTCTCTTGCTGGCTTTCCTCTTACACAATGCTGCAGCCTCTTGACTGTCAAACCTAACTTAGAGGGAGTTCCCATTAGCAAACTTTTCTGAGTCAAACCACAACTAGATTGACTTATTTATTCCAAACTGCTCTCTAAATACATTTTTGGTTTGCTATCAAAAGGGATCAGTCCTTGGGAAAAGACATCATGCCTGGATAAGTAGAGGGTTAAAGACCATCCACAAGACAACTGATGTAGAGGCTGCTTGAGATCAATGGAGATTGCAAAGATGGCCCAGGACTGAGCATAATTTAGAGTGGTTCAAAGTAGCTATAAGTCAGATTCAACTCATTGGCACTTAATGAATTAGTTTTCACACTAAAACAAACCAATCATCACACAATGCCCCCTCCCAACCCCCATGGGTGACATTCTAGGAAAATTATGGTCAAGTTAACATGGATTTTGAGAATATGTGACCATCTCAAATTTTATTAATCTCCAAAGAAAACTTTTGAAGAAAAGTTATATTCAATAACTTTGTTGACTCTCTTTTTGAACTTAAAAAAATAAAACAACAAATCTCTGCTGTTACACTATGTCATATAATCGTTAACAGTTTTATAAAAATATTAAGGTATAGCTTGAAAAGATTCTTTTTTTCAGTAGTAGACAATTTTGGTTTTGCAATGGGTAATTTTCTGTGAAACATCTCAAAATGTTTTCCAGAATATTATTTCATAAGAATTAGATATTTTTCTTTTCAATCTTTTTTTTTGGGGGGGGAACATTTCCAATTCTTATTCTTAAAAATAGGAATCAAAATTGCAAAGGCAGATTTATAATCACTTCTGAATGAGAGGGTCATTTTGGAACATCACAAGAACGCATACGCAGATGGAAATCTAGTTAAACTGCGGTTGCTCCTCAGGTTGCATTCACTCCTGCATTTTCTCAATTAGTTCTTCCTTGTATTTGCCTTTCTCTTTTCCAACTTGCCGAGATTTAGCTTTACGTTCAAGAATTTTTTTCCGATCTTTATCCAATTTCAGCCTGGTAATAACCACCTTGCTTGGGTGAATGTCCACATGCACTGTGGTACCATTAGCCTTCTCACGCTGCACTCTTTCGATGTAGATGACATACTTCTTTCTGTACACCTGGACCACCTTGCCAATCTGCTGACCTTTGTAATGTCCTCACACCACCTACACCTCGTCATCCTTGCGGATGGGCATGGAGCGCACGTTGTACTTCCGCCGCAGCTCTTTGGACAGAGGGGAGGACATGATCTTCCTGCGCACATGCGAAGGGGCATTGAAGTGGCGTTTTCGGTTCTTGCTGCGGTCCGAGGTAACGAAAGGGTTGAACTGCATGGTGGCAGCCGTCCGACAGCGTCAGACTCTTCAAGCACAAGCTCATTTCAATCTTTTAAACCAATGCTATTCTTTATAATCTATCTACACCATAGTATCAGCATTTCTGTTATTGTTGAAATATATTATAATCAAGATTTTTCAAATATATTTTGGTACTGTTTTAATTCTTTATCTCCATGTGGTTACTGGACCTAATATATCTATAATATGTATATTCCCCACCGGGGAGTATGTTAGAAGATTTAGATTTCTGTACCAAAAATGTGGTTCATTAGAAGTCTCATCTAAAATTCCCTATGAGAATTTCCCTTGTAAGAACTACTTAGGTTCTTTAATTTACCCTTGAGGGGAAAATTGCAAGCTATTCATGTCACTCTCATTGTAAAGATTGTACAAAACATTTGTCTAGGTGTTTATGAATCAAAGGTACGAGTACACAGACATGACTTTCCTTCTTCCTTTGAGCCAATGAGCTCTGAATTTGCTCTTAAGGGAAGAAGAAATTTAAATATAAAGCAAAAAAAAAAAAAATACCGTTTTATTCTTAGCTTCTTTCCATTTACTCTTTACTCAGCATCTTAGAGATTTGAACACCCAGAATCACCTCCAAAAAAATAATGAACACTGCATTGAAACAGATGAGGAAAAGAATTGTTTAACAGGACTATATGATTAGGTATTGTTTGCATAACAACAGTCCAGAATAAAAGGTGTGTAGCAAAGCGGACTGGAGTTGGGGTAGAGAGGAAATTGTACAACAATGAAAGAAACTTTTCAAAAAGAAAAGTGAACTGAGGGGTGGATAGATAGGAAAATGTGCAACAATGAATGAATGGAAATCCAAGTTTTCTGTAAACTTTCATTAAAATATCAATAAAAACATAATTTAAAAAAAGACACACACACACAACAATCACTCTGGAAATTGGAGAGCAGATGAGCAATAAGATTTTTATATTGTCACAGACTAAATGGAAATTCTTTAAAAAAAATCCATGCTCGAACAGGATAGAGACATTCAAGAACTGAGAAGAGGTTTTTCCATCTTCAAAAGTGAGGCCATGCTGTAAGGGAAATGATGATCATGATGACAGTATTCAACATTGTTGTTATAAAGAGCCCTATAATTGCCTCCATCTCATGGCCATTTTATGTATAGCAGAAATAAATGTTGCCTGGTCCCACATCAGCTTCATTATCTTCATATGTGGGAGCTCTTTGTGGGACTATTTCATCACTATTGCTATTTAACCAAATGTGATCTCCTTTTCAAACAATTGACCTTTCCTCTAATATGTTTAAAGTAAGTGAGCTGAAGTCTTGCCATCCTTCCAAGAAACATTTCTGTGGTATTTAATAGAAGATTGATTTATTTCTTCTAGTAGTCTTCAGTGAGGGTTTATATGAGTCAGCACTAAAAGGCTTGATGCATATGTTATCACCTGGATTGTGTATCCCAAATCTGAGTTGTAAATCCAGATTCTCATTTGGGGATGAGAGGTTGTTTTTGTTTGTGGGGTTTTTTTGTTTATGTTAATGAGACCAATAGTCTAGAATGTCTCTTAAGTGATCTCTCTTGATATATAAAAGAGATTAAACAAGCGAATTAGCAAACAGAGAAGGGCGAAGAACTGTGCTGAGCCATGTGAAGATCTCCAAGGGGTAGACGCTAATTAAGACTTTTCTCCAGAGTCAATAAATAGAGAAAGAAAGATTTCTCCTAGAACCAGAAACCTGAGTTTAGACTTCTAGACTCCTAAACCGTGAGAATGTAAATTTCTATTTGTTAAAGGCATTCTTTTGTGGTGTAACTGTCATAACATCACCAGATAATGAAGACAGCATATTAGCATATTCCACTAACAACTCTATCAGTTAGGAACGATTATAAGTTTTATTTTGAAGATGAGGAAACAGGAGCTAAGTAATTTGCTCAGGGTTGGAAAAGCTATGAAAGCAAATTTTTAAGACTCTACTGTCCAAGCTCCTAGCCAGTTATTGAGTATGAAGGTTTACCTTCTATACTAATGACCTAATCAGTTAGAAGAAGCCCGAGTAAGTCAAAGAAGGGATTTTTCTGAATAGAGTTGAGTTTCTCTCCTTTTAGCCCAAATAAGTCAAATTGTACCCTGACGTTCTCTCTCCAGAAACAAGCAACAAACCATAGCAAGCGCCTGCTGAGATGTAAAAACAGATATCAAGATAGCTTTGCTTTTCCAAAATATCTTGCTTCACATCTTAACTTAGAAAATCAAAGCCAATGTGTGATTAAAATAGCATTTGTTCATCTACAAAATCCCTAATTCTTGAGACTCTGAAATACACATGCCAACAGAGCTCCGGTGCTGTGGCAGTTAAAGCACTCAATTGCTAACCAATAGGTCAGGGATTCAAACCCACCCATCATCCACAGGACGAAGATGTTGCAGCCTAAAAAGTTAAATCTTTCCAGAAAGACTGAAGAGTGGGGAACCAGAAAGGAGACAATTTCAGTTATTCAGATAAAAAAGTAGTGAAGCGAAAGGCAGAATATTTCTTAACAAGTGAGGGAGGAATAACAACAAAAAAGCAGAACACTTTTGTCTAACTATTGTGTTGAGATTTACTATCTTACCAAAAATAGTTACAAGCTAGACTGTTAACCCAAAGGCTGTTGGTTCAAACCTTCCCAGAGGTTTCTCAGAAGTTAAGGCCCACAGTCTAATTCTGAAGTCATACATTGCAAAATCTCATGGGGCAGTTCTACTCTTCACACTTGGAGTCACCATAAATTGGAATCAATCCAATGGTAGCTAGCATGACAATAACAGCCATATGGAGTTACCAAAAAAAAAAAAAAAAAGAAACTTCTATTATTCATTCAACAAAATAAAACTCTGCAGTTTCACTAATGCCTTTGTATCACTACTTCTCCTTTAAAAAGTATTCTGGCTAATAAAATAAGTGGGGAGTAAATTTTGTTCCTAGCGGTCTTCTATACTCAAAGTAAATGTAATCTCTTTTGTTTCGTATTTTACACTGTTAACATATCTGAATGTGGAAATAAACACATGCCAGCTATATCTCAGAGAATAAAGGAACTGGGGAAAGGTAACTCATGAGCTAATCTACTAAGTATATTATAAATCATGTTAGGAATAAATATACAAAAAAAGAGTTTTCCCTCAAAATGCTAAAGCAATTTCTGCACAGACAAATGACAATATTTGCATATGTAAAGTAATTCCAGTACTCAAATGTCCACACAGATTTCTCCCAGGCATAGAACAAGTATCTACTTTTTTCAGGGTTTGTTAATTTCTAAACTCCAGGATTTTCCTGGACATACTCCTCCTGCAACACACTCCTTTGACAATTTAGAATTTCCTAACACAAGACTAAGTTCTGCAAACTGCTCATTAATGACAATCCCTACGAATTAAGATGCTTGGCCAGGAATTTGTACTAGTTGCAATTTCAGGGACTTTGTGTTTTTCTGTTCTTTCTGCCAGAGACTTATTTTTAATACCTTCCTACCAAAGAGGAAAAGATAGAAACCTGAAATAATAGTCAAATTGATGGGGAACTGCCCTGTCAGCAACCCAGGCCGTTCCTACCACCCCTATCAGCATGTGGACATTAAATGAGTTTGTTTTCTCTCAATGACTTAAAAGCTCCATACTCCTTCAGTGTGTGTGGGGGGGGGGGGGGGAGGTGCACGCACACGCGTGCATGGGCATATCTATATGGATATTTGGGTTTAGGGAGCAGATTTTATTTCATCTTTCAGCCTCCAGTAACTCTCCTGTAGATTCTCATCTTTGTCCATTTCAGAAAAATCCCATCATACCCAGCACTTAGAGGGCACAAATAACTAATTCACCTGTGCATAGCAAGAGCGTTTATGTAATGCAGCTTTTAAGATTTCATCTTTCTCCCACACGATCATAATCCAAAAAACTGTAAACTGTTTAGACTAAGAATTTCAACATAAGCGGCTTCCAACATAAAAGCTGAGAAACAGCAAATAAGGATCCAGCTTTCTTTTTTTGGGCTCTCCATGCAAAGACTTAAAACAACTTGAGAAAAAAAATTTATTCAATAAAAGCAATGTAATCACTTCAGACGACATAATAGACATCAAAGATATGCACAAATAAGATACGGATTGCTGTCGTTGAATAACATAAAAGCATACATACTTACATTTGGATTTTGTTTTACATGCACAGCCTATATACAACAGATTTGCTTATTTGAGTCAGATGTGGCTTTTGGCAAACATCTCTCACATTTTAGGTGGCCCATTTGGGGGCAGGAGGGGGAAAGTTAAAAAATGGCTTTGCCTTGTATGCTGGGATAGATTCAACTAAAAGAAGGGTCAACTGTATCATGGTAATTCTTATGAAAACATCCAAGCCCCTTACAATGTCTACAGAATCAACATTTACATGGATTTCCCACCTGCTCCCAGAAAGGGAGGTAACCTGCTGATTGAGAATGCAAGGGGAGGAATTACACACTGACTGCCTGCAAAATGCAAGTGTACACAGATAGCAATGACACTGGGCGTGGGAATGAGTTCAAATTGTCCTTTAAAGGATTCCTAAGCCTCTAGAGTTACTAGCTAGTAGTTCTCACCACTGGCTAGTTCCCTAGACCAATGAAGTTACGGAATGATGTCTGAAACATCTCAACATGCCAGCCCACTCTCCTGGAACGTGTCCTACCCCATTATTGAGTTTCCAGGGACAGAGTCCCTGAGACTCGCATTCCAAGGCAATGAGGCCTAACCAAGCTCTGTCACAGCTGAAGGTTTCCACAAAGCCTAGAGATCAAAGGCAGGGGCCTGGGTTTAGGGCAACAGGTGTATTTGTGCTGGGTCCAAGGAAGGACAGAGGGAGAAAAGGCTCTGGACACCAGCAGGTCGCTGAGCTGGAGGCTGTAACAGATGTGAACGCAGGTGGAAACAGAGAGTCATTTGGATATGATTTTGGTTCAACTAGTTAGACCATTTG